TTTAACGGATGAAAGCCTCAACGCCTGCATGAAGCTTAACCTCACCACGTATCAACCAGACTACAAAGCCATCAGAAAACCCATGCAGCACCAGAAGTCGCATTAATGGTAAGAAATATTTTATTTATTATTGGTTGTTGGGATAACAACGTTATTAAAAAGGATACATTCAGAGACTTACTATATTCTAAAATTGGTGGTCTTATCTTCTATGTTTTTTTCGGTAAAGTCACGTAGAATGAGAATAAAATAATAAATTGATAAAATAAAATAACACAATAAAATTTTCACGACGTTTCGGCCACAACACAAGCGGCCTTCATCAGGTGAAGGGACGAGACTGTCTGGAGGACAGCGCTGGAGCGAAAAAGCCACGCTCAGATCGCGACCTTTAAGCTGTGTGAGAAGAAACAAAGCGCCTTAGAGTCGCGGCATCTCTTCAGAAAGGTGAGAGACTCGATTAGTTGAGCCTTCTTATCCCGAGACTGTCCTCCAGACGAGACTGTCCTCCAGACAGTCTCGTCCCTTCACCTGATGAAGGCCGCTTGTGTTGTGGCCGAAACGTCGTAATAATTTTATTGTGTTATTTTATTTCATCAATTTATTATTTTATTCTCATTCTACGTGACTTTACCAAATGAACCAAAGAAGATGCATCCTTGCAGTCACGAAAGCTTTAAATCGAAATTGGTGGTCTTAGTTAAAAATACACGCATTTAGTTGTATTCAGTGTTAAAAAATATTATATGGCTCTCACGGAATTTTTTGTTTAATATATGTGGCTTTCATGGCTCTCTCTGCCAAACAGGTTCCTGACCCCTGCTTTAGAGTGTTTGGCTACTACTATACATTTCCACGCGATAAGCCACTTCGTTGAGCTGTCATTTGCGGGCAGGTTGCTTCTGAAAAAAAGAGCTTTATAGCTCAGAGGGCCTTGTATGGTTAAATGTTTAGTTAAGTTTATACAAGCCGTCAACCGCACGTTAGCAGGTGGAATGATGTTTGCCAAAATACCTACCGACTTGTCGAACAAGAATATAATATTTTAGAAAGTCACCTGCAGCGATGCTTTCGCATTCCATTCCTCTGAGCTCAGTCGACGGTGGCAGTGGTTTGGTGGTGGGTGGCGGTGGTGGGTGGCGGTGGTGGGTGGAGGTTGTGGCGGTGGTGGGTGGCGGTTGTGGCGGTGGTGGGTGGCTGTTGTGGCGGTGGTGGGTGGAGGTTGTGGCGGTGGAGGGTGGCGGTGGAGGTGGCGGTGGAGGCGGTGGTGGGTGGTGGGTGGCGGTGGTGCGTGGAGGTGGTGCGTGGAGGTGGTGCGTGGAGGTGGTGCGTGGAGGTGGTGCGTGGAGGTGGTGCGTGGAGGTGGTCCGTGGAGGTGGTCCGTGGAGGTGGTGCGTGGAGGTGGTGCGTGGAGGTGGTGCGTGGAGGTGGTGCGTGGAGGTGGTGCGTGGAGGTGGTGCGTGGAGGTGGTGCGTGGAGGTGGTGCGTGGAGGTGGTGCGTGGAGGTGGTGCGTGGAGGTGGTGCGTGGAGGTGGTGCGTGGAGGTGGTTCGATTCCCGACGGGGGCGACACTCCTTGTGGAGTTTGTGTTTTCCCCCCGTTCAGCGTGGGGTTCCTCCCGCGTCTTTAACATAGACACGTGGTAACCCGTCGCTTTAATACGTGTAGGCTTTCGCGACCACTATCATCCAAAAGTAAAGATTGCTTTGGGTTATATCGCGCCTAGCGACACGTTTATATTTACGTGACCTAACCCAAATAAAAACACCTTTATTATTGCTTGTAACTGGTATTGGCCACATTCAAAAGTGACTTTCACATCACTAAAATGGGATTACGCACAGCGGCAACATCGCCCAACGCCACCATAGAAAGCTGGCAGGACCTGACAAACGAGACCAGCCTCGTCGTCGTAATAACAACATGCTGACGACACTTTGGTCTTCAAGGCACACCGACTGTTGGGTCTGGCAGTCACCTCAGCAGTGGATGGAGCTCCACAAGCAGTGGGCGGGGCTATGCGAGCAGTGGGTCACCTGAGTAGTGGGCGTGGCTAATCAGATGAGTGGGCGTGGTTACAAAAGAAATTGTGGGCGGGGTGATCTGAGTATTGGGTGGGGCTACCGACAAGTGGGTGTGGCTACTTAATTAATGTGCCGGGCTATCTGAGCTAAGGATGGTGGGCGGTGGATAACGGGTAGAGTGGGGTGTTGGGAGTATGATGTCACCAAAATCACGTGCGGGGTGACGTAATCGTTTCGGATGTGTGTGGGGGGGGGCAGCAGTGAGGTCATAATGCCTGGGGCCCTCTTTGTGGGGCGCACGCGGCTGGTCTCCGTGCGTGGCGATGAGCGAGCAGGTCCCCAGGCGCGCGTTGTTGCGTATCGCGCGTTGAACTTCTTTCGCACCGTACGCGTCGAACCAACCGCGCGAATCGGAAGGTGAGTCGGGTGGAGGCTGCGGGTTTATTGCGCGGGGGACAAGCTCCACCGGGCATCACGCATCGAAACGTCGGACATCGGGCCGAACAGAAACAAAATCAATCACTGGGATTTACCGCCACCCCATCAAGATCAATACAATCACGATACCCAGTCAACCCCACAACCGATGTATAAACAATACAGAGCCAAAATCAATATCTAGGCAAACCCCGATTCATGCCCAGGATGCGCTCCTGAAGACCAGAATGAAAAGTACTTAAACAGCAGCAAAGGGATCGATGGGATGGTGGATTGTAACGTGGTACAGCACCTACAAAGGGGATGCTTGGTAATCCACTGGGCCATCTATACAGCACAAACCATCGGTGTGAAAAGCATTACTGATATACTGAGATGTATTACAATGTCTCCTATACTCTACTATCATCATCATCACGACAATCCGTGGGCAGATAGCCCGTCGGTGTTCACTGCACATTTCCCCATCACGTGTTTCCACTTTCCCCTGTCTCGTGCCAACGTGTTAAAGTAGCGGCCACGTCTTCCTGGCGCCAATCTCTCATGGTGTCTTCCTCTCTTTCCAGTTCCTTACATTTCCCCCCGAAGAACAACACCACCACCACTTTGTATTGTCCAGCTGTTGTCCATCCTCCTCCTACTACTACTGCTGCTACGCGTGACCACAAATAGTGCCGGTTTCATTCCCATCACTGCCCGCTGCATCATCATCATCAGCTGGTCGGCGTCGTCTTCTACGGCGCAACATTTTTCTCACTTTCTCCGTCGGTCACCCTTTGAAGTCCGATGCAATTTCGAGTGCCGGTGTCGTGGCTCCGCCGGTCTTTGTCAACCTCCAATTCTCGCCCGCGTGCCACGCAGACGCGGTGGGCACGCACGTCCTAGGGAGGGGTCCTCGAGAGGGGTCCTTGAGAGGGGTCCTATAGAGGGGTCCTCGAGAGGGGTCCTCGAGAGTGGCCACGCCGGCGAGGGATGAGCCACGGGCGGCGAGGCCACGACGGTGACGTCACGGCTTGTTAGGAATCAATTACTAATCACAACAAATAATTATTAATGCCTCGACGGCTCGAGTTTTGCCAATTGACTCGGCGGCGCAACTGAGAGCCGGATTAACACAGAGAGTACAAAAGGGTTAAAGTAAATAAATAAACACAAAATGCTTCACGATTGAAAAATAAATCAAGCGAGGGTGAAAAGGCGTTGAGGTTACACGACACGAGGTGACGCCACATCGTGCCCTTAACGTTGCGACTTCTTTCGCACCGTACATAGCCAACAGTGCTCATGGAAGTTGCCTTTTATGGTCCTCCAGCCCGAGATATCGGTGACGCAGTCGAAAGGAATTATTGCCAGCAGGTAACGAACAACCACCAAGACCACGTTACAGGAGATTGCGCAATGGACGAGAGTAAACGAGAGCTCTTGTGTTGTTGACGCCGGATGTTTGATTTTTTACTTTTACCAGGTAAGGCCCCATTGAGCTGTATTAGCTCGTTTATTTTTTCAGAAGCGACCTGGCTATCGCAAATGATAGCCGAGAGAAAGCGGCTGATCTCATCACGCGGAAATATATAGCAGACAAATAACTCTAAACTCCTGCATACCAGGCGAGGTAGTTAACATCTCCTAGCCACCGTGATAATGAGAGAGACCGCAAAGTCTAAATATACAGCAGGCGTTAGGGTCGGGATCGAACCCATGCCCTCCTGTATATCAGGCGAGGTAGTTAACATCTCCTAGCCACGGGGGTATCCATAATTCGACCCCGGATGAACCTCGCCCTGGCTGCAGGCAGCTCCGGCTGAACTCGAAGCAGATTGCGGTTTCGCTGTTATCCTCCAACCTGACATGCAACTCGTTTAGTCCAGGTGAGCCGTACCAGGTGAGCCGTACCAGGTGAGCCATACCCAGTGACCCACACCGGGCAAACCATAGCAGGAGCGCCGTACCGGGTGAGCCATTCTGGGCGAGACATCTATACTGAGCGAGCCATATTGGGTGGATCATACCAGGCAAACCATACCACGTGGGCCATACCGGGTGAGACATTGGGTGGGTCATACCAGGTCAGCCATACCGACCTTAGCAGTGGATGGAGCGACACAAGCAGTGGGTGGGGCTATGCGAGCAGTGGGCAGGGTCACCTGAGAAGTTACCCGATTAGTGGGCGTGGCTACCATAGTGGGCGGGGTTATCTGAGTGGTGGGTGGGACTACCGACTAGTGGGCGTGGCTGCTTAATTAATGAACCGGGCTCTCTGAACTCAGGCCGGTGTGCGGTGGATAACGTGTAGGGTGGGGGGGGGTATGAGGTCACCAAAATTCCGCGCGGAGTGACGTCATGGTTTTGGATGTGTGTGGTAAGGGGGGGCAGCAGTGAAGTCATAATGCCTGGGGCCCTCTTCGTGGGCCGCACGCGGTTGGTCTCCGTGCGTGGGGATGAGCGAGCAGGTTCCCCAGGCGTGCGTTGTTGCGTATCGCGCGTTGAACTTCTTTCGCACCGTACGCGTGTAGCCAACCGCACGAATCGGAAGGTGCGTCGGGTGGAGGCTGCGGGTTTATTGCGCCGGGCATCACGCATCCAAACGTCGGACATCGCGCCGAACAGCCATTCAATCAATCACCGGGATATACCAACCACCCCGTCACGATTACGCCGATAAATATAATCCCAAGACCAAGTCAACCGCACAACCGATGTATAAAGAATATATAACCAAAATAAATTTCTAGGCATTTTGATCACTTCTACGTTGGTCACTCTTGGGTTCCAGCGTAGATGCAGCATCCTTCTCCAGCGGTGCGATTTTGAGTGCCAGTGTCGTATCTCCGCCAGTCGTTGTTAAAACCTCCAATTCTCGCCGGCGTACAAAGCTGTACTGAACACGCACGTCCTCACTTTGGTCTTGTGGCCGATTCGCTTGCTTCTCCAGATGTCACCCAAGTCCTGCCGTTCCTCCTTTTGCCTTTCCTATTCTCGCACCCGTGTCTCCCGTGCGGTTATTTTCCCATGTCCGGATCCTTCCCAACTATACAAATTCCTTAACGTTCGCAAACCTTGCCGCTTTCCCGCGATTATGCTTCTTTCTCGATGTCCTCCCTTCCGAACTCTGTCGCCTTTGTCTTTTCCACGTTAAATCCTCAGTCCTTGCCACCCTTAATTATACGACAGGTACAATCAATATAATTGCCAACGTAATCAGGACCACCGCTGACGCTCCCGGTGCCATCTGGGTAACCAGCGCATCGCCACGCAGCCTAAAAACATTTGGGTACCTCGCGGTAAAAGTTCGTAACCCCCGGGGGTAAGCGATGGCGAGGTAACCACGGTACGTGCAAAAAAGACGCGGGCATCAATGCACTGAGCAAGTCGTCGGGTACGCGAAGCGGGCCCCATTGCGGCCCCCCCCCCCCCTCATTCCGCCAGTGTCCATCGCTCCTCTCTTGAAGCCGCGATCACCCCGCCACCAGCAAGGCCTCCCCTTCTCCTCTGCTCTTCTTCCGGCATTCTCCGTCTGCGAGAGTTCCGACGACACTGTTGCCATTCCCTCACGAGGTGCGGGTGTGTGGGGGGGGTGGGGGGCTTTCCCTGGGGGGCCATCTATCTGCCCACCCCCCCCCCCCCCGTAGCTTCTGCTGCTGCCGCTTGCTACCCCCGTGGATTATGTCACCGGGGAGCCCGGCTCATGTCCGTCCACAGAGCAGCGGTTCGAGTTTCCGATTTGCACGACCTGAGCATTCACGTTGAACTGGATGCCGGGAACTAAGGGAGGGGGGGGGGCAGAAAGGTAAACGCGTTTAGTTGTTGTTGTTGTTGCGTTTTCAAGCGCAGCTACGAAGACTCATTATTCACGTTGTAGGGTTGACGAGAACGGGAGAGTGTACCGTACCATGAGGGACCATAGCGCCGGGAACGTTGGGGACGTCATCGTCGTTCTCCTGCAGGACACGAAGAGAAGAACGCACGCTCAGGGACCGCAGCGAGCATGGAGACGCACATGTAGTCGTAGCCCAGGGAGGGGGGAGTGGGGAGGGAGTGGTGGAGGGAGGGAGGGGAGAGAGTGGGGGAGGGAGGGAGGTGTCACTCACCTCGTTGGAGGGCTGCAGGTGCGTCAGGCTGTCCTCCTTGTTGTAAAACTCCACGTCGTCTCTTTCCTTCTTGCAACAGCCTACAGAGAGCGTCACGGAAAGTGCCGTCAGCCCCCACTCGTAGTGGCTCCACCTCGCATCTCATCATCAGTGGCTCTTCGTCATCATCATCATCGCTGTCATCAAAATTATTTGATGTGAAAGTCTACGGGCCTCTGCGTGAGTCTACGGGAACCTTGGTGTGATCGCTGTGGCTGGGCGACCGAGACCCGGATTGGGACCACGGCCTCTGTGACCTGGGGCGGTGGTGCCGGTCTCGGTGCGGAGGGCGCTGTGCTTCTCACCTTTGCGGTGAAGTATGCAGCAGAGCCCCACCACCACCAGCACCGCCAGCACCACCAGCGGCGCCACCATCATCAAAATCGACCCTGGGGGCACAGCAGCGGCAACTCACTCTCAGCACCAGCACGGTGTACTCAGTGTCAGAGTGTGCGTGTGGTGGGGAGCGGTAGTGTAGCGGTTACCGTGCTGTGCTACGAACCTGGCTACCCGGGTTCGATTCCCGCTCATGGCCACCGCCAAACACCGGTGACGATTATCTAAATTGGTCCTGGGCCTCCCCTAGGTCGACTCAACCTCAAATGTGTACCTGGTGTGGTGTGTAAACAACATCGCTACTCGGTGACCGGGCGTGGTGTTGGCCACCCGCCCCCTCGTGTGCCGTGCTGGCCTTCATAGGTGTTGTTCGCTAACAGCACTTGCCCCAACAGTCTGCTAAGGCTACACGGGGGATCTTTGTCTTCGTGTGGCTCTTATCTCCACGTCCCTGTGCCCCCCCCCCCGTACACTTCCCCACCGCACCACCCACGCCCCCTCCCCCATGCATACCATATGTGAGGTAGGCCACTCCTTGGTCTTCACACTTTGTGTCTGTAGTCTCCGTGCCATTGGTAATGGTTCTCAATCCAGAATCCTCACAGCTGCACACACACACACGACCATCACCAACTTCACGACCATCAATACCACCACCATCAATACCACCACCATCCCTATCACCACCATCCCTATCACCACCATCATACCACCACCATAAACACCACCACCGTCACTATCACCACCATGTCTATCACCACCATCATCACCACCATACACCCACACACTATCATCACCACCACCACCACCACCACACCCACGGCACTCACCGCGTGTGCTCCCTGCAGGGCAGCGTGGCGGACGTGGAGTCGGAGTAGGAGCCGGGTGGGCAGGGGATGCAGGAGGTGGCCTCCGGGGGGGGCCCGGGCTGCTGCCCCGGGGGGCAGAGCGGCTGCCCCGAGCAGAGCGGGCAGTCGGGGCTCACGCAGTGCAGGCCGGGACGGCACCGGCACTCCGCATTGGCCAGCGCACTGCACGGCCGCTCCTCCTCGAAGCCGGCATCTGCTCCAGGGGGATGGGCGGGGGAGGGTGGGGTGAAGAGCGAGGGGGTTGGCTGTGTGCTCTGGGCTGGCGTGTCTCCATGCTGCTGCGTTCTCACCCCGCAACACAGAATCAACCTGGGCGTAGACTTGCCTGAATGCTGTTTGTGTCATGCGTGGTCATGTGACTCGTGCGTGGTCATGTGACTCGTGCGTGGTCATGTGACTCGTGCGTGGTCATGTGACTCGTGTGTATTTTGTGCGTGGCTTGTGGTCATGTGGCTCATGCAAGTCTTGGGAGTGATCGTGTGACTCGTATGTGGTCATGTGACTCGTGCATGTATCCTGCACGGCTCGCGAGCGGTACCTGCGTTGCAGCTTCTGCACCTGAGGCACTTATGTTTGGTGTTGGCGTGGTCCATGAAGGAGCCGCGCGGGCACGGGGCGCAGGTGCCGCTCTCCTCCTGGAGGAAGCACCCTGGGCGCCCCCACCCACGCCGCACGAGAAGAAAAAAAGAGAAATCGTTAACGGGCAGGCAGCGGAAAGGCGAGCTCGCAGCCATGCCAACCCGCCACTCGCCATCGGTCTTCCTGGGCGGGCAGGCGGGCAGCGTGCGCGTTTTAATCCGGCCACGTCCGTGTCGTCGGAACCCCCCCCCCCCCCCCCCCCCCCCCCCAGCCACAACCCAACGCGGCCAATGGGGTTGGCACGCGGTGCGTTTGTGTGCGAGCGTAGAGTCTCACCTGGGAGACAGCGGATGTCCCAGGGCCCAGGCAGGGTGCACGGAGGCGACGTGACCGGAGTCCCGCCCACGCACAGCATCTAGACATGGTGAGAGAGAGAGAGAGACGCAAGGTGAGTCACAGGTAAGGGGCACAGGTGAGAGACACAGGAGGGGCAGGTCATAGTGACAGGCAAGAGCCTCGGGTGAGGGACGCGGGCGAGGGAGACGCACACGTGAGTGAGGAGACAGGTAAGAGAGACGTCACAAGCTGTCATCTCGTTCCGAGTTCAGGTAAAGTGGCTCCTTTTCTTCCCCTCCGCCCACCACACTCAAAATCCAGTTGGGCCTGCTCCACCGCTGCCGGTAACTCAGCCTAAGGTTTCCTCCGACGGAACCGATCAAGACGTAACTCCGGCTGCTGCTCATGATGACCATGATAATGACAATACTGGTGACGATGGTGCTGACAATGGTGGTGGTGACGATGATGACAATGATGACAACGGTGATGATAGCATACCTGTCAACCCATACGGTTTACCCCGTATTCTTGTACAGGGAAATTTGAGTTTTCATGTCCATACGGCGTACAGACATTTCAATACAGGCAAAAACGTGTTTTTTGTGTCTATTTGTGTTGTGTTTCTCCCTTGTAATGGGACTTTGTAGGATGAACGTTGGCATTTATAAGGGCACCGGGGTGACCAATAAGGTCTCGATTGGTCTTTAATCAGGTAGGCACTCATAAGGGGTTAACAGGTATGATGGTGATGACGATAATAGTGATGGTGATGACAGTGACGCTTATGATGACAATAGGGGTGGTGATGACGATTATGACAACGGTGATGACGATAATAGTGATGGCGATGACGGTGACGATAATGACAATAGTGGTGATGGTGGTGCTAATGACAATGGTAACAGTGATCATAATGACGAACACGGTGGTGATGGCAACAGTGATGGTGGTGATGAAGATACTGGCGATGGCGGTGATGATGACGATGATCATGATATTCTTGGTTCTTTCGGTAAAGTCATGTAGAAGGGAAACAATAAAATAATAAAAATATAAAACAATAAAATGGTATTATTGTTTTATATTTTTTCTTACTTCATTGTTTCCCTTATACGTGACTTTACCGAAAGAACCAAGAATATGAATCCCTGCAGTCACGAAAGCTTTAAATCAAAAGATGATCATGATGGTTGTGGTTGGGGGTGATGGTTGAAAGGGGAGGTCTATGGTGTGGAGGAGGCACCGATTGATTGTAAAGCCGGAAGTTAAGAAACCACAAAACACCCGCGTGTGTATTAACCGCAAAAACAATACTACTACCACGCGCCCGCCCGCCCGCCTTCTTGACGGTGGATGTAAAAGATCCACTGGCGTCTATACTAAACATTTTTTTTATTTCACCAGGCAAGGCCCACTGAGCTCTGAATCTTTTTTTCAGAAGCGACCTGACTATCACAAACGACAGCTCAACATATATATCATCGCGTGGACATTCATAGCAGCACCCAAATACACGCGACGTTGATTCTAAATGTGGAGGGGGGGGGAAAACCCCAGAGGACCCCGAGAAAAATCCACGCAATCACAGGGAAAGAGATGGAGAGAGAGAGAGACAACGCAAACTCCAAATATACAGCAGTAGGCATCAGGGTCAGGCTCGAACCCACGACCTCCTACATACCAGGCGAGGTAGTTAACATTTCCTAGCCACCATGATGATGAGAGAGAGAGACACGCAGACTCCAAATATACAACAGGCAACAGGGTTGGGCTCGAACCCACGACCTCTTGCATACCAGGCGAGGTAGTTAACATCTCCTAGCCACCGTGGCGCTCCATTGGTGAGAGTCGGCCACTGTGGTGTGTCGGCGTGATGGCCCATGTCTCTGGGACCTTTGTTTTAGCAGTGAAAATGAGACTTGGGCCGGTGTACTTCAACTTATTTATTCCGCCGTTACCGCTCGTACACCACAGCAACACTCATCATCAAAACCAACCCCGTTTCCTCGTTCCACAGTCCCTTTAAAACGTCCTCTCCGCCCTTCTCCACCAATCACCCTTCTCCGATTTATGGCTCTTCCCCGATCCGCTCACCGCACCAATCCGATCAGTGGTCATCCAGCCACCCGTGGGGTTTGTGTGTCGTGCGCCTTCAGTGCTCACAACCCCCCCCCCCCCCCCCCCCCCCGATCTCTATTACCTGCCCAAGGCTGCCGTGCTGTGTGCGTGACGTGCGTGACCCCTCCTGACCTCCGACGCTTCCCTTGATTGATGTGTGCGACGCGAGCGTGTCGATGTCGAGTGCGGAAGGCATGCCGTGTTGTTTGTGTGGTGCGAGTGTGTAAGGATGGGCGAGACGATCCTCTGGCAATAAACAGGAGTTGTGTTAAGATGTTCAAACAGCCAAATAGACGCCTTTTTTTGGCAAGGCATCAAGTCTGCAGTAACCGCACACGGCACTTGTGGCAAACAAACATGCTCTGATAATAGTGTATGCATTGTCTTCGAAAGCGATTGGCCCAGCCAAGAGACAGCCTTGTTTATGGCCTTGAGAACCAGGCCTTCTCTGGTCCAACACCACTGGTGAGACTAGGCCACAAAGAAAGCAGTGTCTGGTGTAGGCCCAATGAGTTTCAAAGACAATGCATACATCATCAGAGCACGTTGGTTTGCATGTTTTTCCACAAGTAGTGTGTGTGGCTAAATGCAGTACTTGATTTTTTTAAAGAAAGGTATCTATAATTGGGTGTTTGAACATCGTAACACCTCCTGTTTTTCTATACTCTTTGGGTCTTTCGGTAAAGTCACTAGATAGGCGACTTTACCGAAAGACCCAAAGAATATGAATTCCTGCACAAAAGCTTGAAGTCAAGATTTAACTTCCTGTATTATTGCCCGAAAGGTGTAATAACGCCTATTCCCGTGTTTTATTGTCGTGGCTCACGTTTGCCGAATTCGAAACGTGGCTCCTCAAATTACTGAATTGAAAATCGACACAGACATATACATACAGACATAGTCACACACAGACATATACATACAGACATAGACACACACAGACATATACATACAGACATAGACACACACAGACATATACATACAGACATAGACACACACAGACATATACATACAGACATAGACACACACAGACATATACATACAGACATAGACACACACAGACATATACATACAGACATAGACACACACAGACATATACATACAGACATATACACACCCAGACATATACATACAGACATATACACACACAGACATATACACAGACATAGTCACACACAGACATATACATACATACAGACATAGTCACACACAGACATATACATACATACAGACATAGTCACACACAGACATATACATACATACAGACATAGTCACACACAGACATATACATACATACAGACATAGTCACACACATAGACACACACAGACATACATACAGACATATACATACATAGACACACACAGACATAGACACACACAGACATAGTCACACACAGACAAAGACAAATATCCCCCGTGTAGGCTTAACAGACTGTAGGGGCAAGTGCTGTTGGCGAGCAGCACCAATAGAGGTCGCCACGGAACACGAGTGGCTGAGTGGCCAAAACTACGCCCGATCGCCTTTGTCTCCCCAGTGGCGATGTTTACACACCGCACCAGGTACTCATTTGTGGCTGAGTCGACCTAGGCGAGGCCCAGGACCAGTTCAGATAATCGTCACCGGCGTTGGCCGTGAACGGGAATCGAACTCCAGACCGCCGCGACTCGTAGTGCAGCGCAGACCGCTACGCCACCGCTCACCACGCACACACACACCACGTGTACACACACACACACCACGTGTACACACACACCACGTGTACACACACACACACCACGTGTACACACACACACACCACGTGTACACACACACACACACCACGTGTACACACACACACACCACGTGTACACACACACACACCACGTGTACACACACACACACACCACGTGTACACACACACACACACCACGTGTACACACACACACACACCACGTGTACACACACACACACACCACGTGTACACACACACCACGTGTACACACACACCACGTGTACACACACCACGTGTACACACACACACACCACGTGTACACACACACACACCACGTGTACACACACACACCACGTGTACACACACACACACACCACGTGTACACACACACCACGTGTACACACACACACACCACGTGTACACACACACCACGTGTACACACACACACACCACGTGTACACACACACCACGTGTACACACACACCACGTGTACACACACACACCACGTGTACACACACACACACCACGTGTACACACACACACACACCACGTGTACACACACACACACCACGTGTACACACACACACACACACCACGTGTACACACACACACACACCACGTGTACACACACACACACCACGTGTACACACACACACCACGTGTACACACACACACACACCACGTGTACACACACACCACGTGTACACACACACACACACCACGTGTACACACACACCACGTGTACACACACACACACACCACGTGTACACACACACACACCACGTGTACACACACACACACCACGTGTACACACACACACACCACGTGTACACACACACACACCACGTGTACACACACACCACGTGTACACACACACACACCACGTGTACATACACAGACACCACGTGTACATACACAGACACCACGTGTACACACACACACACCACGTGTACACACACACCACGTGTACACACACACCACGTGTACACACACCACGTGTACACACACACACACCACGTGTACACACACACACACACCACGTGTACACACACCACGTGTACACACACCACGTGTACACACACACCACGTGTACACACACACACACACCACGTGTACACACACACACCACGTGTACACACACACACCACGTGTACACACACACACACACCACGTGTACACACACACACCACGTGTACACACACACACCACGTGTACACACACCACGTGTACACACACCACGTGTACACACACACCACGTGTACACACACCACGTGTACACACACACACACACACCACGTGTACACACACACACACACACCACGTGTACACACACACACCACGTGTACACAGACACCACGTATACATACACAGACACCACGTATACATACACAGACACCACATATACATACACAGACACCACGTATACATACACAGACACCACGTATACACACACCACGTATACACACACCACGTGTACACACACACCACGTGTACACACACACCACGTGTACACACACACCACGTGTACACACACACCCCACGTGTACACACACACACACCACGTGTACACACACACACACCACGTGCACACACACACACACCACGTGTACACACACACCACGTGTACACACACACCACGTGTACACACACACACCACGTGTGCACACACACACACCACGTGTACACACACACACACCACGTGTACACACACACACACCACGTGTACACACACACACCACGTGTACACACACACACACACACCACGTGTACACACACTACGTATACACACACACACCACGTACATACGCACACACATTACGTACACACACACACACCTTACGTACACACACCACGTACATACACACACACACAGGCCCGACCGTGAATCACCAACCTGGACGATGAGGCTACTCAGCAGGAGAGACGACGGTAAGCTCTTCCGAGTCATCGTGGCTGCCTGCTCCTCGCCTCTCTCCGACCTCAGCAACTCGGAGAGGTAAGTCTCCTCTCTTCTCTCCTCTCTTCTCTCTCCTTCTCTTCTCTCTCCTCTCAATTCTTCTGGAGCCCCGAGGGAGGGAGACAACCACATCACGGCATCAGTGTCTGTGTGTAACGTTATGGGCCTCCCCTAGGTCGGCTCGGCCTCAAATGAGTAGCTGGTGCGCTGTGTGTAAAGCACGTCCGCGAGGGAGACAAAGGCGGCCGGGCGTGGTGCTGGCCACCCATCCCTTTGTGTGCCGTGCCGGCGCTTCATACAGTGAGGGAAAAAAAGTATTTGATCCCCTGCTGATTTTGTACGTTTGCCCACTGACAAAGAAATGATCAGTCTATAATTTTAATGGTAGGTTTGTTTGAACAGTGAGAGACAGAATAACAACAACAAAAATCCAGAAAAACGCATGTCAAAAATGTTATAAATTGATTTGCATTGTAATGAGGGAAATACGTATTTGACCCCCTCTCATTACAAAAAGCTCTCTCAAGAGTAATTTTGCTGTGCTTTTTTTTTACACCTGATGAAGGAAGCTTGTGTTGCCTCCGAAACGTCGTGATTTAATTCAGTCGTTTTCATTTATTAAATCTTTTTTTTTTCACCTTACGTGACTTTACCGAACGAACCAATGAATGCGTGTCGGTAGAGTTGACCTGTGACCCTGCCCGGGCCTGCCCCGTCTTGTCAACCTCTGCTGGAGCCCCCCACCGCCCCGCCCCCCACCCCTGCCCGCTACGTCATGACCGAGCGCGTGACTCGGCCGCACCCTCCACCCCCACCCCCACGTCTGCCCGCCCGCCCGCCCACGTCACGACCGAGCACGTGACTCGGCCGCACCCTCCACCCCCACCGCCTTTTGAGATGACGCGCGGGACCCCGTGACAGTCCTCCCCCCCCACCCACGAACTTTGGCCTACTCTTCCACTTCGAGAATGGAAGAGGCGCGCGCGCGCGGCGTTACCCCCCCAGAAGAGGCAGACGAGGTGCGATTCCACCCCCTCCACCCCCCGTGTAGACTTCAACACAGACCGATAACACTGATCACCAGTGGCCTTAGCAAACAGCAGCAGCAGCAAGCGATGAAGGCCGACACGGTACGCGACGGGGGGTAGAGTGGTACTCATTTGAGGTCGAGTAGACCTAGGGGAGGCACAGGGCAATCGTCTGCCGGTGTTTGGTGGTAGACGCGGCGCGCTAACCGTTGCGCCACCGCTCCCCATCGATCGTCACACCGGTACGGTCGCGACGGGCCCCGTGTCCACGTGTGTGTGTGTCCACGTGTGTGTGTATACATGTGTGTATACATGTGTGTGTGTGTCCACGTGTGTGTATACATGTGTGTGTATACATGTGTGTCCACGTGTGTGTATACACACGTGTGTATGCGTGTGTATGCGTGTGTGTGTCTGCGTGTCTGCGTGTGTGTCTACGTGTGTGTCTACGTGTGTGTGTGTCTACGTGTGTGTCCACGTGTGTCTGCGTGTGTGTTCACGTATCTCTGCGTGTGTAAACATGTGTGTGTCCGCGTGTGTGTCCACGTGTGTGTCTGCGTGTGTGTATACATGTGTGCGTGTGTCTGCGTGTGTGTCTACGTGTGTATCTCTGCGTGTGTGTATACATGTGTGTATCTCTGCGTGTGTATCTCTGCGTGTGTGTATCTCTGCGTGTGTGTGTCTCTGCGCGTGTGTGTCTCTGCGCGTGTGTGTCTGTGAGGAGCGGTGGCGTACCGGTTAGTGCTACGCTGCACTACGAATCCGGCAACCCGAGTTAGAATCCCGCTCACGAACCCACACCGGTGACGATTATCTGAACCGGTTCTGGGCCTCCCCTAGGTCGACTCGGCCTCAAATGAGTAGCCTGGTGCGGTGTGTAAACATCGCCACTGGGGAGACAAAGGCGGCCGGGCGTGGTGCTGGCCCCAACAGTCCGTTCAGGCCGGTCGGGGGTGATCTTTGTGTAAATGCCGGTTGGAATCCCACCGGTGGCTCATCAAACCCGGAAGTAACTTCACAGTCACAGTGTGAGACGCTCACCCAACCCTCACCCTCACCCACACGCTCGACTCACCTGTCGCCCGGGCAGGTAGTAATACATCCGCGCGGGGTCGACCTCTTTGCTGGACTGAAGTGACTAGCGGAGTTGACTGAGCGACTATAAAACACTTTATTTTACCAGGTCAGTTGAGTGACTGAGCGAGTGATCAGGTGAACGACTGAGCGACTAGGTGAGTGACTGAGTGACTAGGTGAGTGACTGAGCGACTGAGCGGGTGTCCAGGTGAGTGACTGAGCGACTGAGTGGGTGTCCAGGTGAGTGACTGAGCGACTGAGTGGGTGTCCAGGTGAGTGACTGAGTGACTGAGCGACTGAGCGAGCGACACGGAGCAACTCCGCGTGTGGGGGCTGCCCACTTGATTCGTTGCCCTTTATAGCCCCGCCCCCTGTCCCAGACTGTGGATGACGTCAGCCAGAAGGGGTTTCCCCCACGCCCCCTGCTCAACTCGCCCTCATCTCGGAGTGGGGAAATGCAAGGTTGTAAGTGGAGACGTTGTGTTGCATTCCTTTGATAGTTAACACCTAGGAATTCGCAACCAATATCTATAATACGGGGTTTCTTGGGATAGATCGCGTAAATAATAAATAATATTTATGCGACCTAACTTTAAAAAAAAAACCCTCTTATGGATACTGCTATTTTGAATTAAAACTTTGACTTAAAACTCCTATGTTGTAGGAAGACAAAGGCGTCCGGGCGTGGTGTTGCCCACACCGCCCCCCTCCCCTCGTGCGCCTTTACGGGGTGTCTTGGGATAGATCGCGTAAATAATATTTATGCGACCTAACTTTAAAAAAAAAAAAACCCTCTTATGGATACTCCTATTTTGAATTAAAACTTTGACTTAAAACTCCTATGTTGTAGGAAGACAAAGGCGTCCGGGCGTGGTGTTGCCCTCACCGCCCCCCTCCCCTCGTGCGCCTTTACGTCATCCAGGGCCCACAGTAGAGCAGGAGAGAACTTCAGCTGTAGAAGAATGGCGAATATTCACGTCTTATCATTTGGTATTTATGTCTTAGGCATTCGGATATTTTAGTATTTTAATTTAAACACTATCAGTTATTAAAAAAAGTTTCAAAATGTAACGTTATCTGTTTAAATGTTATTCGAGTAATTTTATTTATTTTTTTGCGATCAAATTCGTTTTTTCCCACTTGCAGCATTGGTTCAAGTCAAGGCTGACTTGCTACCTGATGAGACACCGCGAGTCGAAACCAGTTCTGAGTTATTGCCAGTGTTGAACCCCAATGCTGCTGAACTCATGCGCTGCCAGGAGGGAGGCCGTGCGACTGATTGGGAGAGGATATCGCTTGTGACTGCTCTCTCGCTAGTTCAGCGGTTCCACTTCTGGATTGTATTTTTTTTCCGCCTGAGGACGACCCGCTTGTGTTGCGATCGAAACGTCCTAATTTATTAAATGTTATACCTACGCGTAGTGGCGGTGTTTTTCTTAACGTTAAGAAAAAAAACCGCCACTATTTAAAAAAAATGTTCTTGCTGTAGTTTTCACACCTGATGATTGATTTGTGTTGCAATCGAAACGTCGTGCGAATTTTATTGTTTTATTTTTTATTATTTCCCTTCTACGTGACTTTACCGAGAGAACCAAGAATATGAATCCCTGCAGTCACGAAAGCTTTAAAACTAAATTTAGGTGACTTTACCGAAAAAAACAATGAGTATAGTTAGGATATCACTTATTTATTGCATCCCAATATACAGTGACGGAAAAAAAGTATTTGATCCCCTGCTGATTTTGTACATTTGCCCACTGACAAAGAAATTATCAGTCTAGAATTTTAATGGTAGGTTTATTTGAACAGTGAGAGACAATAACAACAAAAACATCCAGAAAAACGCATGTCAAAAATGTTATAAATTGATTTGCATTTTAATGAGGGAAATAAGTATTTGACCCCCTCTCAATCAGAAAGATTTCTGGCTCCCAGGTGTCTTTTATACAGGTAACGAGCTGAGATTAGGGGCACACTCTTAAAGGGAGTGCTCCTAATCTCAGCTTGTTACCTGTATAAAAGACACCTGTCCACAGAAGCAATCAATCAGATTCCAAACTCTCCACAATGACCAAGACCAAAGAGCTCTCCAAGGATGTCAGGGACAAGATTGTAGACCTACACAAGGCTGGAATGGGCTACAAGACCATTGCCAAGGAGCTTGGTGAGAAGGTGACAACAGTTGGTGTGATTATTCGCAAATGGAAGAAACACAAAAGATCTGTTAATCTTCCTCGGCCTGGGGCTCCATGCAAGATCTCACCTCGTGGAGTTACAATGATCATGAGAACGGTGAGGAATCAGCCCATAACTACACGGGAGGATGTTGTCAATGATCTCAAGGCAGCTGAGACTATAGTCACCAATAAAAAATTGGTAACACACTATGCCGTGAAGGACTGAAATCCTGCAGTGCCCGCAAGGTCCCCCTGCTCAAGAAAGCACATATACATGCCCGTCTGAAGTTTGCCAATGAACATCTGAATGATTCAGAGGACAATTGGGTGAAAGTGTTGTGGTCAAATGAGACCAAAATGGAGCTCTTTGGCATCAACTCAACTCGCCGTGTTTGGAGGAAGAGGAATGCCGCTTATGACCCCAAGAACACCATCCCCACCGTCAAATATGGATGTGGAAACATTATGCTTTGGGGGTGTTTTTCTGCTAAGGGGACAGGACAACTTCACCGCATCAAAGGGACGATGGACGGGGCCATGTACCGTCAAATCTTGGGTGAGAACCTCCTTCCCTCAGCCAGGGCATTGAAAATGGGTCGCGGATGGGTATTCCAGCATGACAATGACCCAAAACACACGGCCAAGGCAACAAAGGAGTGGCTCAAGAAGAAGCACATTAAGGTCCTGGAGTGGCCTAGCCAGTCTCCAGACCTTAATCTCATAGAAAATCTGTGGAGGGAGCTGAAGGTTCGAGTTGCCAAACGTCAGCCTTGAAACAATGACTTGGAGAAGATCTGCAAAGAGGAGTGGGACAAAATCCCTCCTGAGATGTGTGCAAACCTGGTGGCCAACTACAAGAAACGCCTGACCTCTGTGATTGCCAACAAGGGTTTGGCCATCAAGTACTAAGTCATGTTTTGCAGAGGGGTCAAATACTTATTTCCCTCATTAAAATGCCAATCAATTTATAACATTTTTGACATGCGTTTTTATTGTTGTTATTCTGGCTCTCACTGTTCAAATAAACCTACCATTAAAAGTATAGACTGATCATTTCTTTGTCAGTGGGAAAACGTACAAAATCAGCAGCGGATCAAATACTTTTTTTCCCCTCACTGTAGGAGCACAGAGCTTGGGCAATTATTGGTACCCTCTTGTCTGTGGGTTTTCCGTGCCTCTGAATCACTCGACGTTATTTTACCAGGTAACGTCGCAACTGAGCTATAATGCTCTTTTTTTCATAAGCGACCTTGCACACAAGTGATAGCTCAACGAAGTGGGCTTATCATCGTGTGGAAATTTACAGCAGCCAAAAACTCTAAACGCGCGATGTTGATTCTGAATGTGGAGGGGAAAACCAAGAAGACCCGACGTGATGAACGAAGCAAAGTGCCGAATAAACTAAAGCTTTTTGTTTCCTCTGATCGTAAAAAAAAAGAGAGAGAGGGGAGAGAGGGAGGCAGAGAGAGACTTTTGACTTTTTAAAAACAAATTTATTGCCGCCAGCAGGAACAACACTGGAGGTGATTTCGATACGGAATACAGCAACAAATAACACAAACAATAAAAAAACACACGTGCCACGCACAACACAAAAAGAGTCACATGGTGGTGGCGTTCGTCACCGCAAGCGACGCTGACGACAGAGCACGTTAGACGGTGAGAAGGAGGGTGCCTTTCATGCTGGTACGGAGGGCGCTTTCGGCCCCCCAGCGGTCGAAGAAGTCGCGCACGTCACCCCGGCCCGTGTGTGGTACGTTTGAGGCAGGGCGAGAGAGAGAGAGGGTGAGAGGGAGGGCTCGGTGAGGATGGCGTGATCGCGTTGCGGCGATGAGTCGACACTAATGCACCGCCTTCTCGCGAGCCAAAGGAGTTCGGCTCCTCCTCGACGCCCATCCACGGGGTCGGAGTTTCCCACCATCTGTGCGTGATCCACCAATCCCCTCGCTGCCGCTGCTGACTCCACAGCGCTGGGGTCGCAGGTAGCCACGTGCAGCGGCGTAGGCAAAGACAAAAGATCCCCCGTGACGAAGTGCACCCCTGCCTCACCCACCCACAAATATAGAAGTAAAACTCCGCCAGCGAGCAGCGCCTATGAAGGCCGGCATGGCACGTGAGGGGGGTGGGGTGGCCAGCACCACGCCCGGCCGCCTTTGTCTCCCCAGTGGCGACGTTTACACATCGCACAAGGTACTCGTTCGAGGCCGAGCCGACCTAGGGGAGTCCCAGGACCCATTCAGGTATTCTTCGCTGGTGTTAGTGTCCGTGAGCGGAAATCGAGCTCGGTGCGCCGGCTGCCTTTGCCTCCGTAGTGGCGACGTTTACACACCGCACCGGCTTGCTCATTTGAGGCTGAGTTGACCTAGGGGAGGCGTAGCCACAATCCACTAAGTCACGTTGACGTCACAGCGGCGCTTGTGCCAGGCCAGGTGCACTTTGAGGCCACGTTTAAGTGTCGAAGGCTCGCTGGCAGGAGGCCATGGGACAGACCCTGCAGGTGCCACGGGTTTGGCTGCTGTGCCAGGCTAGGTGCAGGAGGTCACGGGACAGACCCTGCAGGTGCCATGGGTTTGACTGCTGTGCCAGGCTAGGTGCAGCGGGAGGAGGTGACGAAACAGACCATGAAGGTGCCACGGGTTTGACTGCTGTGCCAGGCTAGGTGCAGCAGGAGGAGGTCACGGGACAGACCCTGCAGGTGCCACGGGTTTGACTGCTGTGCCAGGCTAGGTGCAGCAGGAGGAGGTCACGGGACAGACCCTGCAGGTGCCACGAGGTTGACCGACTGAGATGACCGGCAGATGCACCCAGCTGTGCCAACTTGCCTCAGGTTATCCGCCCGGTGCTCCGCTTGTTCTCTGTGAGCGGCCGCTCCTCTGCGCTTTGTTGTTGAGAGGGCGACTGCCTCCAGCTGACCGCAATCGCCAACCACCGGCACCAGCACGGCCCACGTGTTACGCAATCTCCCATGGGCCCTCAAGGGTGGAACTGCAGCGGCGGCTCTTCAAATATTCGAAAGGGAAAAATAAATACTCTTCTTGCTTATTATTGTGGTTGCAGATCTCCTGAAACATGGAAGTCCAGTTTACCACAAGAGTCCAGTTTACCAAGGAAGTCCAGTTTACCATGGAAGTCCAGTTTACCATGGAAGTCCAGTTTACTATGAGAGTCCAGTTTACTATAAGAGTCCAGTTTACCATGGAAGTCCAGTTTACCATGGAAGTCCAGTTTACTATGAGAGTCCAGTTTACCATGAGAGTCCAGTTTACCATGGAAGTCCAGTTTAACATGGAAGTCCAGTTTACTATGAGAGTCAAGTTTACTATGGAAGTCCAGTTTTCCATGGAAGTCCAGTTTACCTTGAGAGTCCAGTTTACCATGAGAGTCCAGTTTACCATGGAAGTCCAGTTTACCATGAGAGTCCAATTTACCATGGAAGTCCAGTATACCATGAGAGTCCAGTTTACTAAGAGAGTCCAGTTTACCATAAGAGTCCAGTTTACTATGAGAGTCCAGTTTACCATGGAAGTCCAGTTTTACCATGGAAGTCCAGTTTACTATGAGAGTCCAGTTTACCAAGGAAGTCCAGTTTACTATGAGAGTCCAGTTTACCATGCAAGTCCAGTTTACTATGAGAGTCCAGTTTACCATGAGAGTCCAGTTTACCAAGGAAGTCCAGTTTACCACGAGAGTCCAGTTTACCAAGGAAGTCCAGTTTACCATGAGAGTCCAGTTTACCAAGGAAGTCCAGTTTACCATGGCCAGGGGTTCGCAACCTGCGGCTCCGGAACCGCTTGCGGCTCATCATTTTTAAAAAGGCGACCGTCTCGTGTTCACCGCTTGGCATTGTGTGGCTCTTTAACTATTGGGGGGTGTGGCGGGATGTTCACCGAGCCCCCTAGGGCTGCAGCATTCCTCCGCCGCTCGTGCTGGGCTCACACATAACTCTCTGGCACATTGCACAGACACCGAGGAAGAGGGAGGGTGACGTAGGCAGATAGAGAGGGAGGGAGGGGGTAGAGAGAGAGGTAAGGGGTAAGGAGAGCAGAGCGTGAAATCTATTGTGAAATATTTCATTTAAAAAGGGGGGGGGGGGGGGGGTTTACATAAAGCAAAGCATAAAAAAAACGAAATGATGAACGAAGAAAAGTGCCGACTACACCGTGCATCTTCTTGTTTGCTCTGATCGTTAAAAAAAGGAGAGGCAGAGAGAGGCAGAGAGAGATGCAGAGAGAGATGCAGAGAGAGAGGCAGAAAGAGAGAGGCAGAGAGAGATGCAAAGAGAGGCAGAGAGAGATGCAGAGATAGGCAGAGAGATGCAGAAAGAGAGAGATGCAGAGAGAGGCAGAGAGAGTTCGGCGCGCAGGCAACATGGGTCGCGTACGCACCAAGACGATGAAGAAGGCGGCGCGGGTGATAATCGAGAAGTACTACACCCGCCTGTGCAATGACTTCCACACCAACAAGCGCGTGTGCGAGGAGATCGCCATCATCCCCAGCAAGCCAAGGAGACGCTGAAAGTGCTGGACTTTGGAAACCTGCCCAACCTGCAGGTCACTCAACCTATTCTGGGCATGGACCTTACGGTCGACGCGGATCTAAAACGCATTCGTGTTGTCAAAAATAAAACGATACAAATCTGAACAAAAAGAGAGAGGCAGAGAGAGAGAGAGGGCTCGGTGAGAATGGCGTGATCACGATGGAAGAGTGAGTGAATGGGGAACGGTGGCGCAGCGGTTAGCACACTAGGCTACGAACACGACGACCCTAGCTCGATTCCCGCTCACGACCAATACCAGTGACGATTATTTGAACCGGTCCTGGGCTTCCCCTAGGTCGACTCAGCCTCAAATGAGTACCTGGCACGATGTATAGTAAACACCACCACGAAGGAAACAAAGGCGGCCGGGCGTGGTGCTGGCCACCCACCCCCTCGTGTGCCATACCGGCCTTCATAGGTGCTCGCTAGCAGCACTTGCCCCAACAGTCTGTGGAGGAGGAGGGGATGGGGAGGGGTCTTGCTTGGCACGAGTGTGCGAGTCTCTGCATTTCTGGGTAATTCCAAGTGCGCATCTCTCCACGTGCACCACAACCCCCAGGCACCCTCCAGGCAACAACACCTCGCAGTGACATCTCCGGATGTTGCGCCATGCGGAAACGCGCACCCTGATGCGTTGTTTTCTACCGCCCCTCGGGTCAGGGTCTGCCCTATATACGGTCTCTCTTGACCCCAATACATGTATTTATTTAGTTACCAGATAAGGCCCTCTGAGCTTTACAGGGACTCCTCCACTTACGAACACTTGACTTACGAACGTTCAGAGATACGAACAAACCTGTCCGTGTGTCCAGTTGCCTGTTCGGACCGAGAGTCGTAAGTTCAACTGCAGCGTAAAAGATTGTGGTGGTGGTATCTACATCTGTAAAACATGAAGGAACAGTGGCATCTACATCTGCCGAACATGAACAACCAGTGGCATCTACATCTGCAGAACATGAAGAACCAGTGGCATCTACATCTGCAGGAGATTACACTACATTTACAGTAATTCCCCATGTTTAGTGTAGACGCCGTACAACATGTTTGGGAATCGACGGGAGTAAAGTTGGACTTATGAACAAATCGACTTACGAACAGACCTCTGGAACCTAACTCGTTTGTAAGTAAAGGAGTCCCTCTATAGTTTTTCAGAAGCGACCTGGCTATCACGATAGTTGAACGAAGTGGCTTAGCACGGTTGGGCTATGTACGGGTGCGAAGCAAGTTCAACATACTGCGTGTACGTAGACCACGTGGAAATGTATAGCCGGCAAATATTCTGAACGCGTGATGTTGATTCTAGACGTGCGAGGGAAAAACCGGAAGAGCCGGAGACAAAGCCACACGACCACGGGGAGAGAGAGAGACACGCAAACTCCAAATGTACAGCAGCAGCATGCGTCAGGGTTTGGATGGAGCCCACGACCTCCTGTATACCAGGCGAGGTAGTTAACATCTCCTAGCCACCGTGATGATGAGAGAGAGAGACACGCAAACTCCAAATATACAGCAGCAGCAGGCGTCAGGGTTGGGATGGAGCCCACGACCTCCTGTAGACCAGGCGAGGTAGTTAACATCTCATAGCCACCGTGGCGGCGATCCGTCTGTCTTGCCGTCTGTCTGCCTGCTCGTATGTCTGTCCGTATGTGTGCGACAGTCCTTGACTTAGGAACCACACTAGTTCCTGGGACCTGTTTGTAAATCGAACGGTTCGTAAGTCGGAAAACACCACAATGCACTTTCATTTAAATAGCCACACTGCCAGCGTTATGAAACGTGTTGCGGTTCAATAAAAAGTGAAGCATTGTTAAACTCATACAAAATAAGACGCAATAGCGTATCATGCAACACTGTAAATAAAATTGCTGCATGTCCAGCAAATAAAAGTGAAATAAAGTTACGTAAATAGAAAAATAAATCCGTGCTGATTGTCGGAAGTGGCGTAATGAGTCACCACAATGTACACACACACGAGTCACGCACACACAAGCACACACAATAGACACTCGACAAAGATTCCTCCCCTATCGTCTTATGAGAGGCTGTTGTTGGGGTAAGTGCTGATTGCGAGCAGCTTTTAGGGCCGGCACGGGCACACGTGGGGTTTGGGTGATCGGCACTGCCGCTATCTCCCCACCCCCGTCTGTCTGTCAATATGTCCGTCCGTCCGTATATCCGTCTGTACGTCCGCCTGTCTGTATATCCGTCTGTACGTCCCCCTGTCTGTATATCCGTCTGTAAGTACGTTCAGCTTTTTCTTTCGCACCGCACGTAGCCAACCGTGCTCATCAGAGTTGCGGGGAAAGAACAACGAGCTGAACACGCTAACGCAATTATTATGAAGAAATTCGTTTGCGCTAATGTCCATCTCTCTGGCCGTATGTTTGAACACGTGCATGTCTATCTGCACGTCTATCCGTATGTTTATCATAGAGTTTTTGGTCGGGCTAGGACCCATATCTAACAGAGAGTGTCCTTGCCTACAACATCTGGGCAGATCACCAGCGTTGGTCCAAGTCAAGTCCTGACACTGCCGCTGATGAGGCACTGTCGAAACCGACTCAAGAGTATTTTCTAGTTTTTAACCATTGAGATGAATTCCCGGAAGGCGGCAGTGTGTGGCTGATGGAATGTGTAGAATTCACGTGTGCTGCTGCTGCTGTTGTGGTGCGTGGGAGATAGCAGTGATTGTTGTGCGTTGATAGCAGTGATTGTTGTGCGTTGTCGCACCACAACAGCAGCAGCAGCACACGTGAATTCTACACATTCCATCAGCCACACACTGCCGCCTTCCGGGAATTCAATTGTTGTTGTTGTTTGAAGCGCACGGTCGCTCTGCACGATTATTTTGCTGCTTAAAAAAAATGTCCCACGCGATAGGCCACTGTTGAGCTATCATTTGTGGCCAGGTCGCTTCTAAAAAAATAAGATAATAAGCTCAGCGGGCTTTACCTTGAAAGATTACAAATCAATAGTTTAGTTTTATTCGTGTCTATTTTACACGCTTTTATTTAACTCACTGTCTGTTGTCGTCATTGTTGTTGTCGTTGTATCTTCAAATCTTGTAACTGAATTTTATCCTACTTCCCAATGTGGTATCGACTGCAAACTTGTTATACTTATGTCATACCGATGACAATAACTATATAATATCATAAAAATATTGAAACATTTTTTATATGTTATGTTTCGGCTTAGGTCTAATTGTCCACGCTCAACTGACGTTGCCTGTAATTGGCCACGGTCCCCCTTACGTTATGGCAAACTTCGGGGCCACTTCCTGGAGTCATGGAGTTTTATGCCATTACTACTACGGTACATTTCATAAAAACGTGTTTAAAAAAAAAAGTAAAAAAAAAATATATTACTTATTTAAATTGATTTGCTTATCCTTTCCTATACTTTGGACTCCCATCGTGTTTTCCTATTGTCTGCTGGACATCTGAGACAAAGAGCTTTATAGCTCATCGGATATTTCCCGTGGGGGGGGGGGGGGGGTGAAACAATAACTCTGCACGGAACCTCGAGGCCACGGCGCCTGGCGGGACGCGCCTGACTCCTGCTCAGTGCACGGCTCGGGGAGAGGAGAGCGCGTGACTCGGATTGGGGATTTTTCCTCGACAATAACTCACCCAGTCGAAGTGCGCAGTGGCGAGGGGGGGAGGGGGAGGGACCTGGGGAAGTGGGGGGGTTTCGAGTAAGAGAGTTTAACATCGGACACCAAGTCGCGTGTCTTACACAGAGGGAAATCGTCATCACCACCCACCCATCACGTGGCTTTCCCCCAGCGCATTCCCTGCCCTCTTATCACAAACTCTGCGCGCGGGGCTGGGAGTCTTCTGCAGGACAGTGTGACAATGGCCGAGAGTAACCTCACCCCGCCACCACCTCCACCCCGCCGCCTCCACCCCTTGCCCGACCGGCCCAGAGTAACCTCACCCCGCCACCACCTCCACCCCGCCACCACCTCCACCCCGCCACCACCACCACGTCCACCCCGCCGCCTCCACCCCTTGCCCGACCGGCCCAGAGTAACCTCACCACGGCTCCTCGCCGCGCGGCCAACGCGGCGCAGATTTGGCAACGCGCAGTGGCGAGACGCGCTTCGGTATTTTTCAGTGGCCTCACAACCCCCCCCCCCACCGCGTGCATCTCGGTCCGCGTTAGCGTAGCGTAGAGTAGCGTAGTGGTGCTTCACCAGGGGGTGCATCACGCATCAACCCCCCCACAGAGTAGAGTAGTGGTGCTTCACCAGGGGGTACATCAACCCCCCCCCCCCCAGAGTAGAGTAGTGGTGCTTCACCAGGGGGTACATCAACCCCCCCCCCCACAGAGTAGAGTAGTGGTGCTTCACCAGGGGGTGCATCAACCCCCCCCCCCCCACAGAGTAGTGGTCCTTCACCAGGGGGTACATCACCCCCCCCCCCCCCCACAGAGTAGCGTAGTGGTCCTTCACCAGGGGGTGCATCACGCACCCACCCCCCACAGAGTAGAGTAGTGGTGCTTCACCAGGGGGTGCATCACGCACCCGCCCCCCCCCCCACAGAGTAGAGTAGTGGTGCTTCACCAGGGGGTACATCAACCCCCCCCCCCCACGGAGTAGAGTAGTGGTGCTTCACCAGGGGGTACATCAACCCCCCCCCCCCCCCCCCCACAGAGTAGAGTAGTGGTGCTTCACCAGGGGGTACATCAACCTCCCCCCCCCCCACAGAGTAGAGTAGTGGTGCTTCACCAGGGGGTACATCAACCCCCCCACAGAGTAGAGTAGTGGTGCTTCACCAGGGGTACATCAACCCCCCCACAGAGTAGCGTAGTGGTGCTTCACCAGGGGGTGCATCAACCCCCCCCCCCCAGAGTAGAGTAGTGGTGCTTCACCAGGGGGTGCATCAACCCCCCCCCCCAGAGTAAAGTAGTGGTGCTTCACCAGGGGGTGCATCAACCCCCCCCCACAGAGTAGCGTAGTGGTGCTTCACCAGGGGGTGCATCAACCCCCCCCCCAGAGTAGAGTAGTGGTGCTTCACCAGGGGGTACATCAACCCCCCCCCCCACAGAGTAGAGTAGTGGTGCTTCACCAGGGGGTGCATCAACCCCCCCCCCCAGAGTAGAGTAGTGGTGCTT